TTTTTTATAATTTAATTTATGTACAATAACGAAGTAATTTATATTTGGGTTTAATAATATAATTTTTTTTATAAATATAATAATTATTTATTTTGTTGGAACTCGATAATCATTCTAATTGTATTTTAGTTTTTTTATATTTTAAAATGAGATGTTCATCCTCTATTTGATTATGTTTATCCGTAGTTATTTATACGAATTCAAACATCGAGCTTTAATAAGTTGTACTTATGCATAATTACTTGTAATMTTGAATTTTAAGTAATATGCATCAATATACAGTACTTTATGCATAACRAAAATATAYCGATATTCGTATCAAATTAACTATTTAAAATTCCTCATTTTTTGTGTAATTTTTTAATTCAATTTTTTATTATAATTTAATTTAGATACAATAACGAAATAATTTATATTTGGTTTAATAATATAATTTTCTTATGAAGATAATAATTAATTATTTTGTTAGAACTCGATAATTATTCAAATTATATTTTAGATTTTTTATATTTTAAAATAAAATATTTATCTTCTATTTGATTATATTTATCCGCAGTTAGTTATACGAATTCAAAATCGAGCTTTGATAAATTATACTTTTGCATACTTTACTTGTAATCTTGCATTTTAAGTGAACATTGATTTTATGTGGTTTTGAGAAAGTAATAATATTTTTATTTTTGAATAAAATATAAATTTAAAAATATTATAAAATTTTGAAAAAAAATATCGATATCAATATTAAATTAGTATTTTTAAAAGTTCTTGTGTTTTGGTGCAATTTTCTTAATTAAATTCTATTAGTTATCAATAGAGGTGAGCATAGGCGGGTACCCGCCCTTTTTGACAGGAACCGGAACCGGAACCGGCGGTTCTTGAGATATTGGAGCCGGAACCGGAACCGGTTAAAGCGGTTCTTAAAATTTTGGAACCGGGACCGGTTCCGGTTCTGGGTACCCGCTTCCTAAAATATTAAAATTTTGTTATTTAGAAATAAAAATAAAATATTGCCAAAACACTAAATTAAATAAATAAGAATGCAAATTATACGGAATAATGGTTACAAATATTGTTTTAACGATTACAAACCATAATAGACTAATAGAAAATGTTCAAAGTTTAATGATTATATACTATAATTATAAATGTTCAAAACTTAACGATTACATACTACGAACTGTAGTTTAGTAGAACTAGAAAGTAGATGAAGAATGAAGATGACCGCGTCATTTGAAGATGTAACCTAATATAAATTTGGTATTGAAAAAAATTAATTATTTTTTTATTGAAAACAACCGCCGGTTCCGGGTACCCGGCGGGTAACGATTCCGAAAAACTGAGAATCGGAACCGGAACCGTTCTCAATCGGTTCCGTATTTTAGGAACCGGAACCGGAACCACTCATATCGGTTCTAGTTCTGGAACCGGCGGTTCCGGTTCCGCAAACGGGTACCCGGTTCCGCTGCTCATCCCTAGTTATCAATGATTATCATAATTATATTTTAGATTTTTTATATTTAAAATGAGATATTTATCTAATATTTGATTATGTTTATCTGCAGTTAGTTAGACGAATTCAAGTATGGAGCTTTAATAAGTTGTACTTATGTATAATTTACT